GGAGAAAATGTGGTACATTTACACAACGGATTATTACTCAGCAGGAAAAAGAAAACAGTGAAATCTTGAAATTCACAGACAAATGGACGGAACTGGAAGAAAACTTCCTGAGTGGGGTAACCCACTCACAGAAATAAAGCAAGGCTTTTTATCCAGGATAAAACAAATATTCTTTCAGGGATGGTGTTCAGTGAAGCAGATTCAGATAGAACAAATGATAACATTACTAGGCACAGTAACACACAACTTATCCAAGGCTAACCAAAACATTTAATTAGAAAAGCATTCAAGGCTAACCACAGCTAACTGCCTATGTCTAAGATCAGGTCACTTACTGTTTAACATTTGTTGCCTAGCTCTTGTGAGTCTTTGAAATAGAGCTATTTTGACTCTTTCTTATTAAAAAGCTTTCTTTACTAAACATTTAAACCCACTGTTGATTACACATGTACAGCCTATGAAATTTTATTGTTGGGTAAGTTTTCATCAATACTATTTGTACTTATGTGAATGACATGAATGATTCGGAAAGTGCTGGTTTTCTCAGAGACTTGAAGTCATGGTCAGTGACCAGGTCTCAGAGGTTGGTTTCTCATTTATGTCTTTTGTTTAAAATGTCAGCATCGGCTTTCAGGAACATTTCGTTAATATGAGAAAAGAACAGAAGAGCAGAGATTGCCATGAGAACTATGGCTCAATATTTTTCTCCAGCCGAGAGTTCCATAACCGTTTCCAGGAGATCCCCTTCTTGTGAAGTTATCACCTCAGTCTGTGGAACTTGTCACACAGAATCTACTGGATTTGGTGTGATAGGTTTTCTTTCTCTTTACAGTGTGGAAGATAGTTTTGCTGGTCAAGCCCAGAGATTGGTTGGTCTTCCCGCTCAGGGATTGGTTGGTTTTCATGCATGGGCAGAGTGTTTCTTTGGCTCTGGTTTCAGGGCCAAAGTGTATTTATTTCACTGGCCCTCTTTAACCTTTTGGTTCTGGTTTCAGGGACAGGGTGTGTTTCTTTGGCTCTGATCTCAGGGCCAAAGTGTGTTATTTGGCTCTGGTTTCAGGGTCAGGTTGTGTTTCTTTGGCTCTGGTTTCTGGGCCAAAGTGTGTTTGCTTCACTGGCTTTGGTTTTAGGGTCAGGGTGTGTTTTTTTGGCTCTGGTTCCAGGGCCAAAGTGTGTTTGTTTCACTGGCTTTGTTTCAAGGTCAGAGTGTGTGTTTTTTTGACTGGCCCTTTATCCTACAATAACCAACCTAGGTGCCAATTACCAGATAAAGAAAATATGGGACTGGAGAGATGGCTCAGTGGTTAAGAGTACCTGTTGCTGTCCCAGAGGATCTCGGCTGTTTCCGGCACCCACATGGTCATTTTCGACCATCCTCAACTCCAGTTCCAGGGGATCTGATACCCTCTTCTGGTCTCCACAGACACTGGGAATTCATGTAGTGAACATAAATACATGCAGGCAAAGCACCTACACATAAAATAAATCTAGAAAAAAGAAAATGTGGTGTGTATATGCACAATGGATATTTAGTCAGCTGTGAAGAAAATAAAATTACTTCACTTGCAGGAAAACTATCGCATTAATTTTAGTTTTTTTAGTTGTCACAGAGGAATGCATCTAAGGGTTTACACTGTATTTCATAGAAGTCTTTAGGATTGAACTTTAGAGAAAGGAAAGTTAAGAGCTGTGGGGAACCTGTAGTAGACCAAATACATTTAGCCTTGTGAGATGAACATTGTCTTAGGATTTCTATTGCTGTGATGAAACACCATGACCAAAAAGCAAGTTGGGGAGGAAAGCGTTTATTTGGCTTACAATTCCAGATCATAGTGAATCATTGGAGAAAGTTGGAACAGGAACTCATACAGGGCAGGATCCTAGAGGCAGAAGCTGATGCAGAGGCCACGAAGGAGTAATGCTTACTGGCTTGCTTCCTCTGACTTGCTCAGCCTGCTTTCACATACAACCCAGCACCACTGCCCCAGGGATGGCACCACCCACCACTGAACACTAATTGAGAAAATGCTTCACAGCTGGATCTCATGGAGGCATTTTCTCAACTGAGGCTCCTTCCTCTCTGATGACTCTAGCTTGTGTCAAGTTGACACACAAAACCAGCCAGTACAAACATTAGGACGGGCCACTAAGGGACAGACTTACATGTTGGGTTGTGGGTGTCCTCAGCAGGTGGTACTATTGGGAGGTGGTAGAAACAGAGGGTGATGCCTTGGAGTAAATTGTGGCACTGATGTTAAGTTACGGAGAACCTGTTGAAAGGCCCGCTGCCTCTCTGTCTTCCCCCCGCCTATGCTGATGCTGGATGTTCTCTCTGGAGCAGCCAGGAGGG